GAAAGGGGAACTCTCTTGGACTGTTGGTAGGGATGCAATGCAAAGCAAACTGGTGCAGGCACTCTGGGAAACAGTATTAGAGGCTCCTCAAAAAAGTTAAAAATAGAGCCACCCTATGATCCAGCAATTGCACTACTAGGTATTTATGCAAAGGATACAAAAATACTGACTCAAAGGGACACGTGCACCCTGATGTTCATAGCAGCATTATCAACAAGTCAAACTACGGAGGGAGCCCAAATGTCCATCAACTGATGAATGGATAAAGAAGAGGTAGTGTACACACACACACACACTGAAATACTACTCAGCCATGAAAAGGAATGAAATCTTGCCATTTGCAATGACATGGATGGGACTAGAGTATTATGCTAAGCAAAATAAGTCAGAGAAAGACAAATACCATACAATTTCACTCATACGGAATTTAAGAAACAAAACAGATGAATATAGGGGAAAAGAGAGAGAGAGACAAACTATGAGACAGACTCTGTAGAGAACAAACAGGGTTGATGGAGGGAGGTGGGTGGGGGTGATGGGGATCAAGGAGGGCACTTGTGATCATCACTGGGTGTTATGTGTAAGTGATGAATCACTAAATTCTACTCTAATATTACACTCTATGTTAACTAACTAGAATTTCAATTAAAACTTGGAACAAATGAAAACTATGATTTTTAGGGATATTTTCTTACAATGAAAGGAATACACCATTGGTATCAGTAGACACATTTTTTCCTGGTGATGATAAACAGGTAATTGCTTTCTTTAAACTTTTTGCTGTTGTTAATTAATATTACCATTGTAAGAAGATGCTGGTAAGGGGCACCTGGGTGGCTCAGCAGTTGAGCATCATCTGCCTTTGGTTCAGGGCGTGATCCCAGGGGTCCTGGGATCGAGTCTCACATTGAGCTCCCCACAGGGAGCCTGCTTCTCCCTCTGCCTCTCTCTGTGTCTCTCATGAATAAATAAAATCTTAAATAAAAGAAAGAAGTTTAAACAACATGGGAATAAGTGATGTAAAGGGCAGCCCCCCCCACCCACCCACCCAGGGGCTGAGAATTCAAGGAAGAGCATTCCCAGGTTGGCATCTGATTGCTGTTGCAGTGGAGCCATGGCCCACTGGATGGCCGAGGTAGAACTGCGACGCTGAGTGATGGAACTTGCTGGAAGCCCCCCCAGGATGCCACCACACAACCAACCACCCGAAGGCCTACCTGGGGAACCTGCCGGCTGGTGGGCCTTGGGATCTGAGCCAGGTGGTGGAGAAGCTGCAGCTCCACAGGAGCCAGGCCACCCCGGGGTACCAGAACCCCACAGAAAGCTCCCCCCCCCCCCCGGTCTCTCCAGAACACCACATCTTGCCAGTTGTCACAGGGAAGTTCTCCAGCCCTGGACTCCTTTTTGCAGAAGCAGTGAGGGTGGGGTTGGAGCTGAGGGACACTAGAACAGCCACGCCACCCCTGTTCCTTCCTATTATGAGTGATGCAAAATATCACACAGAACACTCTCGCTAATGATCTGATTTCTAAGTAATTTTGGTAGAAGACTTTACCTGAGGTAAAAGGCACTTGTATTTGCTGCTGCTTAGAGTCCCTATGTGGGTCCTGTTCCAGACCTGTCATTCCCACTGTCACCTTCAGGCCCCATCAGACAGGCTGCCGAAGGACACTGTGGACTCTGCCAGGGCTGAACTGTCCTCTGCAGTGGCTGGTATTAAACCGCCACGACGATGTGCATCAAGTTTTGCCCCTTCCTTCCTCCCTCCCTTCCTTCTAACAAGCGATTTTTGAAAAGACTTACAAAGAGATACACACTGGTGTACGTAAACACGGTAAAAAAAAAAAAAAAAGTCTCTGTCCTCTTCGGGAGCCCAAGCTTTAACGGAAAAAAACAACAAAGTAGAAAAGTAAAATATAGAGAATGTTGGTGATGATTCGGGCATGCAGCAAATCAGGGAGGAAAGGGAGACAGAAGTGTTAGGGACAGGGGCAACTTTGAATAGGGTGGTCAGAGGAGGCTTTACGAGGGGCTAACCCTTGGGCTCAGGTCTGATGTTTGGGGGGAGGGGGGGTATGACAGGTAGAGAGGAAGGCTGTTTCGTGGTGGAGTCTTGATTATGCATTTTCAAGCAGATGCCGGGGTGGCTGCAGGAGGGAGGGAGAAAGCAGTCATCAGGGAGGCCGGAGCCAGACTGTGCCCAAATCATCTCGGTGCTGTCATGGTTGGAACACTCAGGAGTTCAAGAGTAATTCAGCATATTCTCTTGGTTTAAAATATGAGTGTTCTATTGGAATTTCACTGCCAGTTTATCCACCGCAATGCCAATTATAAGATCTCACTTTAGCATTTCATATCCTCAAACGGTTGGTGCAACAAACCTCCACATAGACCTTTAACTAACTTATATTCTAAAACGTGTACTTTGGTGTTTTGCCGACAGAAGGTTTAACCCAGAATTTGATAACAAATAAGTAGTACATATTTTGGAACAAACAGCCTCAGAGAAACAAAGATATGAATAGGGGAAAACAGTAAATGTATTATTTTTATTAAAGTGTGTCAATACCTAGAAACAATAAAGGGTACATTATAAATATGGATACAAAATAAGTAGATCACTTGAAATAGAAAAGTTTAACCATAAGTTACTTTTAAAAGGATATCAATGGAAACAAATCATAAATTTGTTAACTGTAAATGCTACTGTATGTAAGAATATAAACCTTTAAAATCTTGTTTAGATTTTTAAATAACTACAGCATGACTAAATGTTCAGGATCCTTTAGGCATAAAAATTATTACTTAGAGACACCTAGCAAACCAAATACAGCTGACCTCTGAACAAAATGTGTTGAAACTACACAGGGCCTCTTACGTGCAGATTTTTCTGCAGTACAATACTGTAAATGTGTTTTCATTATGGAATTTTAATTTTTTTCTCTAGATTATCGTTAGAATACAGTATATAATGCATATAACATACAAAATGTGCTTGTCACCTCTTTACGTTATCGGTAAGGCCTCCAGTCCACGGTAGGCTGTTGGTATTTATGTTTCAGGGGAGTCAGAAGTTACACATGGATTTTTGACTATGTGGGGAGTTGATGCCCCAGCCCATATTGTTCAAGGATCAACTGTAATTTATTGTGCTGTATTTTTGTTGTTTTAAAATGTACTGCAGTTTTGCTTATAAAGGTGTTAATTCATTAACTGAGTAATATTGTTAAGACAATACTGACTTAAATACTTGCTACACTTTGAGTATTTGAAGAAATTTTTTTTAAGATTTTATTTGAGAGAGTGTGAGAGAGAGCATGAGTACGGGCAAGTGGAGAGGGAGAGGGACAAGCAGACTCCCCGCTGAGCAGGGGGCCTGATCCGGGGCTTGATCCCAGGACTTGAGATCATTACCTGAGCCAAAGTCAGGGACAACCAACTGAGCCACCCAGGCGCCCCTGGAGGAATTACTTTTGAGGGGGGCCTTGTGCATTTGAACCTCATTTGAGTTACTAATAATCACACTGACAAATTCAGGAAAGTTCCCCACCACCACTGAGATTATCCACCAGAATCAAAGCAGGTTCCCTGTGTCACACGCAAAAAAAATTTCTAAGTTCTATGTCCATACATTTCAATCAGGGTCAAAAGGGAAGAAGGGATGCAGAAGTAAAGCTGCAGTAACAATTTTAAATACTGTACTCCATTTTCCCTGAAATCTTTTTCTTAGTCTAATAGTCTAAATTTTACCCAGAACCAAGAAAAATATTTCTTCAGTTTTCTAAAAATTTAAATAGTTCCTGTATTTTCAAATGATCGCTAACCTATATTAAAGCACAAAGTTAGCAAAAGATTTAAAAAACATTAACCTCAAATAAATATAATTTTTATTATATGTTCCAGTAACTTTGTTCTACTTATCTTTTTCAGCTTGGTAGGAAGGCTGTATATTTCTTTTAAATGTTTAAAATCAAATGATATTTTAATTTCCCCCTCTAAAAATGGTAGAAAAATCCATTTTAAAATAGAGGCAAAAAGTCCTTGAAACATTTTTCCTCTCCTCGAAACAAACCTATACTTGGTATACATTTTTAAAAGTTTTTAATATGGGAGGTGATCATTATGAAACAATTTTCTTTTTATAAATAACTAGGTCTGACACAGTGACATATCCATGGGGCACACAAGAGACATACTGTGCGTAACATATGTATGAGATACACCATTGCCTTAATCAGTATCCCAAACTTAAAAAACTGAGTTACATTCACTGATTTATTTACCTATGTTAGATATAGCAAACTACTATCATTTGAGATAAAACAATATTGATGTTCAAAGCACTTCTGTAGCTGATACAGAAGGTATGTGTTTGCACCATAACCAGGTAACTGACAACTAAGCACACAAACCAGAGACATAAATATACTATCCGCTATGAACAAGTTCTAGTCAAGGCTCCATGTCACAACATCTAGTGGCTAAAAACTAAAGAGCACCTAGTAAAAAAAAAAAAAGGATATTTAAATAAATGCTTTCGTGCAAATCGAACAGGTTCACTTAGCAAACCCTCAGCAATACTGACCATAAAGACAACATTATATATCAGTCTCATGCTTGAGAAGATTCCGCCTCCTTTGTCTGCTTCCAAGAGTTCACTGTAGGTAGGTCACCCACATTTATGTTACTTCTCAACAGAAGCAGAGTTCATAGCTGTGCATGTGATAGAATCCTGTCAGGGTATAAGCAATCTCAAAACATCAGTTGCATTTATCAGTTCCACTTTTCGATCTTGACAGCATAAGGAATATGCATTCTCAAATACACGGAGGTACTCAATGTGCACTTTCCAACTTACACATAGAAATACGCTTGTTCTCTATAATGTGTATTTAAGGGCTCGAGACTTTCTTAATAAAATCTAGATGGCAAATGAAATTTTCTAAGTCATGAAAGGCTATTCGAAAGCTATTAAATAAATTCTATCCCAATTACTGTGATTAATTTTAAATACACTTTATTCTGAATGATTCAAGTAGTATCTTTAAGCAAATTTATAATGTACAGAGTTCAGCCTTGCCAATATGGAGACTTAATTAAAAAAAAGAAAAAGAAAAAGAAAGAAAACTATTCAAAGCCTCTGGCCAGAGATAAAATTGCAAATGATTTTAGGCTAACAAAGGACTTAAAATTTCTCACAAAACCATAGCTCTTCTTTCTTGAAAAATACATTCTCTAGTAGAATACCAAATTAGAAGACAGACTTGAACAAATCACACCCAAAGCATGATCCTTTACCATAAAATATTTTCCCACAGATCCAAGGAGATCAAAAATTATGACATGTAACCCAAAAACAGAAAGCTAGGGACCCAGGATATGAAAAACAGCATAAGAGACCAGATCACCAAAAGAACCATAAGCTCACAATCACATGACATTTGTACAAAAGTTTTAAAAATTAAAAAATAAATAAATACAGGCAATATAATTAAGTTAAAAATAAAAAGAAGGTTCATTTTCACAAAAGGACGTAAAAAACTTTGTGAATACTGTAACCACTATATAAATACAGGCATACCCCAGAGATATTGTGGGTTCAGTTCCAGACTACAACAAAGTAAATATTGTGAGTCAAATGAACTGTGTGGCTTCCCAGTACATACAAAAATTATGTTTACACTATAGTCTACTAAGCGTGCAATAGCATTATATCTAAACAATGTACATATCTTAATTTAAAAATACTTTATTGCTAAAAAATGCTAACCATCATCTGAGCTTTCAGCAATCCGTAATTTTTTTGCTGGTGGAGGGTCATGCCGTGATGTTGATGGTTGCTGACTGATCAGGGTGGTGGTTGCTGAAGGTTGGGGGGACTGTGGCAATTTCTTAAAATAAGACAATAATGAAATCTGCCGCATTGATGGAGTCTTCCTTTCACGAACAATTTCTCTGTAGCACGAGATACTGTTTGATAGCATTTTACCCACTCTGGAACTTCTTTCAAAATTGGAGTCAATCCTCTCAAACCCCGCTGCTGCTTTATCAACTAAGCTTATGTAGTATTCTAAATCCTTTGTTGTCATTTCGACAATCTTTACATCATCCTCACCGGGAGTAGATTCCATCTCAAGAAACCACTTCCTTTGCTTATCCATAGGAAGCAACTCCTCATCCATTACAGTTTTATCGTGAGATTGAAGCAATTCAGTCACATCTTCAGGCTCTACTTCTAGTTCTAATTCTTTTGCTATTTTTACCACATCTGCAGTTACTTCCTCCACTGAAGTCTTGAACCCATCAAAGTCATCCATGAGGCCTGGAATTAATGTCTTCCAAACTCCTGTTAGTGTTGACATTTTGACCTCTTCCCATGAATCACGAATGTTCTTAATGGCATCTAGAATGGTGAATCCTTTCCAGAAGGTTTTCAATTTACTTTGCCCAGATCCATCAGAGGAATCACTGTCTGTGGCAGCTATAGCCTTACGAAATGTATTTCTTAAATAATAAGACTTGAAAGCGGAAATGACTCCTTGGTCCATGGGCTGTAGAACGGATGTTGAGTTAGCAGGCATGAAAACAACATTAATCTCATTGTACATCTCCATCAGAGCTCGTGGGTGACCAGGTGCATTGTCAACGAGCAGTAGTATTTTGAAAGGAATCTTTTTTTCTGAGCAGTAGGTCTCAACTGTGGGCTTAAAATATTCAGTAAACCACGTTGTAAACAGATGTGCTGTCATGCAGGCTTTGTTGTTCCATTTGTAGAGCACGGGCAGAGTAGATTTAGCATAATTCTTAAGGGCCCTAGGATTTTCAGAATGGTATATGAGCATTGGCTTCAACTTAAAGTCACCAGCTGCATTAGCCCCTAGCAAGAGTGTCAGCCTGTCCTTTGAAGCTTTGAAGCCGGGCATTGACTTCTCCTCTCTAGCTATGAAAGTCCTAGATGGCATCTTCTTCCAATATAAGGCTGTTTCATCTACATTAAAAATCTGCTGTTTAGTGTAGCCACCTTCATTAATGATCCTAGCTAGATCGTCTGGGTAACCTGCTGCAGCTTCTACATCAGCACTTGCTGCTTCACCTTGCACTTTGATGTTCCAGAGACGGCTTCTTTCCTTAAACCTCATGAACCAACCTCTGCTAGCTTCAAACTTCTCTTCTGCAGCCTCCTCACCTCTCTCAGCCTTCATAGAATTGAAGAGAGTCAGGGCCTTGCTCTGGATTAGGCTTTGGCTCAAAGGAATGTTGTGGCTGGTTTGATCTTCTATCCAGACCACTAAGACTTTCTCCATATCAGCAATAAGGCTGTTTCGCTTTCTTATCATTCGTGTGTTCACTGGAGTACCACTTTTAATTTCCTTCAAGAACTTATCCTTTGCATTCACAACTTGGCTAACTGTTTGGCGCAAGAGGCCTAGCTTCCGACCTATCTCTGCTTTCGACATGCCTTCCTCACTAAGCTTAATCATTTCTAGCTTTTGATTTAAAGTGAGAGACATGCGACTCTTCCGTTCAGTTGAACACTTAGAGGCCATTGTAGGGTGAATAACTGGCCTAATTTCAGTATTTGTTGTGTCTCAGGGAGTAGGGAGGCAGGCCCGACAAGGAAGGAGAGATGGGGAAAGGGCCAACTGAATAGTCACCACATAAGCAGTATTTATCAGTTAAGTTCACCATATTACATGGGTCTGGTTCGTGGCACCCCAAAACGATTACAGTAGCAACATCAAAGATCACCGATCACAGACCACCAGAACAAAAACAACTTCAATGAACAAGTTTGAAAGACTGTGAGAATTACCAAAATGTGACACCAAGACACAAAGTGAGCAAATGCTATTGGAAAAAATGGTGCCAATACACTTCCTCAATGCAGGGCTGCCATTTTCAATCTGTAGCACATATAACATCTGCAAAACACAATCAAGTAAAGTGCGCCTGCATTGTGTCAACCTTCAGATTTTGGTTATATCTTTTTGGGAGGTTTAAAGTATTAGTTTTTCATCTCAAATTCTTTACACAGAAATTGACCACCCTCTGAAATAGTGAGTAGCACTTCAAGTTTTTTCCTTCATGAAAATATTGCTGGAATAGAAAAATACCAAAAGTCTTAATCAACTGATTTAACCTTTCCATGCTCGAATAAAGATTTTGAATGTAATTCTTTTTCTTCTACAGAAATCAAGTATTGGTAATACATTATTTTTTCTTAGCAAATCAAAGCAGCATTTGATCACACATTATAATACCAAAGAAAACATCATATAACTTAAAAATGTATTTATACTCTAGCTCAAGACAATCCATTCACCTCCATTTCTACTTGAAAAACGCAAGACAGAAGTAAGTTTTTACTGGTCTACTTTTCAAAAACAAGGACGGGTAGCTGTAGGGGTCAATGCAGAAATTACAGTTGTCCTTTATCTGCTGGAATGTGACTCACAGACTGTCACGCCTTTCTAACTCCTGTATGTTGTCACACTTAGTGCTTTCTTTGCCTTGTTGATATGTACGAAGCTGCTCCATGAAGCCAGTATTTGGACATATGGAAGGCCTTGCATTCTTCACCAAAGAAAAAGCACTGCTAAATGAGAGTTCTTCAGAATTCATCAAGAATCCTATTACAATTGCAGCAGCCCTGGAAACTCCTGCATTACAATGAACCAGAACCACTCCATCCTGCAACAAAATCAATGAAAAACCTCCATTACTCACTTGGAAAGGTTACTAAATCACTTGTACACTCTTATACTACTTGAAATGATAAAAGAAGGTTCATTTTATTAATTTGATTCAATGTATTCAATTAACAAAATTTAATTCACTGGGCAGCCTGGGTGGCTCAGTGGTTTAGCGCCGCCTTCAGCCCAGGGCCTGATCCTGGAGACCCGGGAATGAGTCTCACAATGTCGGGCTCCCTGCATGGAGCCTGCTTCTCCCTCAGCCTATGTCTCTGCCTCTCTCTCTGTGTGTGTGTCTCTCATGAATAAATAAACAAAATCTTAAATATATATATATATATGTAATTCAGTGTAAGCAACGAATGGAAAATAATCCGCCAATCAACCAACCAACTTCTCTTCCTACCCCTCCTCCCCCCGGGGAATGAAATGCTTTGACAATGTATTTGGAATTTTGAAAAAGTATCTTTTATCAAACTGAAGTAATCTACTAAAGTACATGTAAGAGCCTAATAAACTTAGTAGATACATATCTATAACTAAGAGAAAAGTCACAGTTCATGTATGTGGAAACTTTTTTTTTCAAAAAAAGTTTTAAGACTTTATTTGAGAGAGAGAGAGAGATCTCATGTGAGAGAGCAAGCACAAGTGGGAGGAGGCAGCAGAGGTAGAGAGAGATGCAGGGTCCCCGCTGAGCAGTGAGCCTGATGCAACGTGGGGCTCGATCCCAGGACCCCAGGATCATTACCTGAGCCAAAGACAGACACCCAACTAACTGAGCCACCCAGGCGCCCGTTTTCTTATATATATGACTATTTCCAAATTTTAACTGCTTCTGTACAAGACAGGCTAACGCCAAAACTCACTATACATACATGGAACTTTTCTGTGTATAATAGCTCATTTTTATGAGATTAGAGACACTTCAAAAATCGTGTTTCAGTAAGTGATGAAAACTAGTAAGGAACTTCTCTCAAAACAAACCAGATGTTCCAAACAGACCCGGAGTGGTAAGCGAAATGAGAGATACCAGTCAATGTCATTTTTAGTATTTCCTGACTACATACTAGTCATCTCTGTTTTGAGCCATAATATGCCTTTGAAAATGAAACCAGCTTTATTTTCAGTCTTTTACACTATACATTCAGTGCCAGCTCATGTTTAATGTTAGTATTTTTCTTCTTTCTTATATCTTGTATGTAACAGCTACCTTTCTGTTGCTTTTCTACAGCCTTTGAATTAACTTATTTCTCTTTTATTACTCTTTGGTATCATACTGTCCTTGCAAGTATTCCCACAGGGGCTCCTGGGTGGCTGTCTGTTAAGTGTCTGGCTCTTGGTTTCCACTCAGGTCATGATCTCAGGGTGGGGAGATCGAGCCCCATACAGACTCTGTACTCAGCGAGGAGTCTGCTTGAGATTCTCTCTTGCTCTCCTTCTACCACCCCTCCCCAACTTGTTTTTTTTTTCCCCACCTCATTCTCTTAATAAATAAATCTTAACAGAAAAAAAAAAGTATTCTCAGAAAAGTTATTGGCTTTATATCCCCTTTCCAGAACTCAAAATAGTAATAATTTAAAAACTTATAAAGTGGGGCAGCCAGGGTAGCTCAGCGGTTTAGTGCCTGCCTTCAGCCCAGCGCATGATCCTGGAGACCCAGGATCGAGTCCCACTTCAGGCTCCCTGCATGGAGCCTGCTTCTCCCTCTGCCTGTGTCTCTGCCTCTCTCTCTCTCTTTCCATGTCTCTCATGAATAAATAAATAAAATCTTTATAAAATAGATAGATAGATGATAGATAAAAACTTAAAATTTTTTTCTTTGCACTTGCTGTTGTCCTCTCCCTGGAAAGCCTTTGTTCCTCTTCTTGGTCCAGCTAACACTGGCTTCTGTTCTAAGAAGCCTGTCTCTCTCTGAGTGAGATGGGGTCGAGGGGATAGCTCAGCTATCTTTGGGCACTGTGTCCTTAGTGCAATTTGAGTCACATAGTAGATATTCCATAAATGTTTGCCAAGCAAGTAAATTAATTTTGTTCTCCATTTCCAAGAAGAAAGTGTTCTCCTACAAATTTGAATCACTGTTTTGCTATGGGCAGACAGGAATCATGTTATAGTATTTCCAGTTTATCAAGCATCCTCTGTTTTCATGCTGTTGTGAATAAATTATCAACTAGACCTTAAGCTCTTTGAGGGCAGCAGTATGTACGTATCCCTCATATCTTCTCAGAATAAGTAATTAATATTTATTGACAGATTAATGAACCAAGTTTAGGTTTTTATTTTTTTTAATTTTTAAAGTTTTTTTATTTATTTATTCATGAGAGACAGAGAGAGAGAGAGAGAGAGAGAGAGAGAGAGAGAGAGAGGCAGAGAGGCAGAGACACAGGCAGAGGGAGAAGCAGGCTCCATGCAGGAAGCCCAACGCGGGACTCGACTCCAGGTCTCCAGAGCCTGGGCTGAAGGTGGCGCTAAACCGCTGAGCCACCTGGGCTGCCCAAGTTTAGGTTTTTAAATGAATCTTTTGATAAATAAAAAAATATCAAAATGCTACCAGTAGTTATGTCCACATGGTGTAAGAAGGGTGAATTTTTACTTATCTTTGTATTTGTCAATTTTTCTACAATGACATAATTTACTTACATCATGTTTTTAAAATCACATCTCATAAAATGAGTAATAAAGTAAACATGGAATATCAAATACATATTTTGATATTAACAAAACCTTTTGTACATAAAAAAAAAAAGGGAGTCAAATTTTCATGAAAGAACTCTTACGACCATACAGGTTACCCTACTATTGTCCCCTCATGTGTATTTCTATCCCTTCAGGTATAAACCTAACAAATAATGCATGACACAGAGATAGTGGAAAGGCAGAGAAACCAAACAACAGGGTTTTCACAAGTTCAGAGGACAATGAGAAAACACATGGGAAATCAGAAGAGATCCCATTTGGCAGCTGCAGGTAAAAAGATAAAACAAGCAAGTAGGGCCTAGAAAGGTAGTTTTGAAATACTCAATTCACTGAGTAATCACATTTAATAAAAATCTGCATATGCAACAGAGAAAGTTACAAAAAGATCTCTTCTAGAAAAAAAAAAAGAAAATTCAAGAATTCCATCGCTCAAACTAAGTATGTATTAATCTGAAGAGTAAAGAGTTTTCAAGGCAAGGAAATACTGGCTGAGGTTAGGAATGCATCATAAAACTGCTTGAGAAATCAGAATAGATTATGGAATTCCAGCACATCTTGTAGCAGAAACATCTTAGGTACCTCCTCAGATTCTCTTGCTGCCATCATCTCATGGGCTCCTCAGCCTCCACCCCTGTGGCCAACTGCTCCCCTTAGGCCTGATGAGCATTGCTTACCTAAGAAGGCCTGTCTCTTGCCCTGTGCTGGTCTCTGCATAAACAAGTACACCCTGAACTTCTGAACGTGGATGAAAAGTCAGACCACAGCCCACTGAGCTTGGCTCCAAGGCAGCTGCTGAAGGAGTGGAGTGCTGTCACTGGGCGTTGGGCGACCAGTCACCACCCCCTACTCCTCCCCGTGGATAAACTTTGACCAGCTTAGCGCAGGAGCTGACAGAGAGCCAGACAGATACGTGCTCTCCCCCTCCCTCCCAAAGTCGGTGTGGAGGAGTGATTTCTTTGTGCTCCCTGAAGGGAGGCCTTATGTGGCTCAGCACACCTGCTGAGCACCCGAATGTGTCACAGGCAGCTCACGGTGCACTGTGCTTGGCAAAGTAAATGCACCAGCTCACGTGGCTGCGCATCCTGTCCTGAGTCACTTCCCTTTCTACCCACTCTCACTGCCTGTGGATTCCACCTCTCATCTGAACCACCAGCTCTTAATCTTGGTCTCGGGGTCTGTGTTTTAGGAAACCCAAGCAAAGGAAACTTCTACTTAACTGTTACCCTTTCCACTTGCAACATGGACACATCTTCGAACATGAATATGCATTTGGATGATGCCTACATTTTTCTCTTCCCATGTAAGGTCTACCTCACATCTCCCTAGAGAAGCAGCTAACACGGAAACGTTATCTTGTTTATTTTCGCACTATCAGCCAGCACACTGGAATGGTATGATCTAGACCCTATAAAATTTTTCATGAGAGAAAACACTGGGCAGTATTAGGCCTTGAATCAGAAACTCTCTTCTTCTTTTATCTAAATATCTGCTATTAAATAAAGCTGAATGGCAGCCATTTTGCAGATGACCTAATGGAAAGCACCTAGAACAGTGCTGGGGATGTAAGGCATTCAATAAATATTACTAAATTAAAGGAAGGAAGAGAGAGGGAGGAAAAAAAGGAAGGAGAAAAGGTAGAAAGGAAATCATTAGCCAGAACTCAGCTAAGCTGGATTCTGATTGTTAGAGGTGCCCCAGGGGAGTTAACTTTACTCTGTAAGTGCTTCTATCTATTTATCTCACATGAATTTTGTAAGAAATTATATACTAACTAAAAATGATGTCATTTCAAGGTACAATTACTGGTAACAGCCAACCTAGAAGCCCAATGTTGACTTGAATCTATTACCAAAGTTGAAGCATTATATTATCTGTTGGTCTTTTGAGGTCAGAAAACCAATGGACAGCTTCTGAACAGCGTTTTCATACAATATCAGTAAAGCAATACACATATAGTCCTTAGAGCAGCCTATAATTTTCTACTGTTGAAAATGCATAAATTCACTACTAGCCCTACCACAGCCACAAAAATGCCTATTAACCTTTGTAAATACATTAAGAGGCCTACAGCAGCATCTATCCCTTACTCCACCTTATCTTGCAAATTGGTCAGAGGGCAGGTGGTTATAAATCATCAAAAGAAATCTAAGCATATATAAACACAGGGAAGTTCAGTAAGTGGAGAATTTTATCTCCTAACACTTCTCAGGAAGCCCAGGAAGATGAGAAATTAATGTTAAGAGTAAATAGGTCATTGAGGGGCGCCTGGCTGGCCCAGCTAATACTGCATGCAACTTGTGATCTCAGGGTCATGAGTGCGAGCCCCACACTGTGCAGAGATTATTTAAACAAACAAACAAACAAACAAACAAAAATCTCACTAAGAAAAAATATTGGAGAACTAAATACTTGTAGTTGTTCATGAAAGATTGTTGGAGGGGAAATTTCATAGTGGTTCTCTCTGTATTCATTTCAAAAAGAATAAAGATTGGATAACAGATGGTCTTTTAAAATTTCTGCCTTTGAAGAACCTGTGGATCACAATAAAACTTACCTTTGCTTTTGCTTGTTCAATAAATTCAAAACATTCTGGAAAATAAGACAGGATATTGGTTTCAGGAAGATCCAATATAGAAATGCTCTTATATATAAAGTCATCGAGGAAAGCATTTTCAACTCCATATGCAACATTGAGAATGTGAGTCACCTTAAAGAAAAAAAGAGGATGGTTTTTAACATTCTCTAATGAATTAATACTAGGTTGATCAAAAAGAGAATGGCATGTTGAGATCTGTAACAAGAATAAACAATTTAGGCATCACTCACTTGAATAATTCTTGCAGGAAGCCTTCTCCGACTGCCCATCCCTCGCCAGAAGTGCTAATTCTACATTCCCATGGCACCCTCTACTTGCCTTAATTAGGCATTTTGAGATTATTTGTCTCCCTCGTGGTACTAGAAACTCCATGAGGGTACAAACCATGTTTGGTTTATTATTATTGTAAGTAAGTACTGTTGAGTAAGCACTGACTTTAGCACAGAAAGTACTTAAAATACTTGTCGGGAAAAAAAAATCAATGATTATCCACGTAAAAAACATGAATAAGCAAAGTACATCAGTAACACAACCTTCCCTTTCAATAATTATTTCCCAGTTTTCCTTCATATTCTTTATACATATGATGGTTCTTAAGTGTGCTGCACATTAGAATCACTCAGTGAGTTTGTAAAAAATGTCAAAGCCACCAGGCCTCAAACCCAGAGATTCCCATGAATTAGTCGTGTTGAAAGGACAGTCACAAAAGATTTTCTTTCAAATGGTACGCAGAAGCAACTTTCTACTCCATCTATGCATTTGAATTCCTTTCCTAGTCTACCAAGCATATGGAAGGAGCCAAGCGGAAAGTCAATTAGAAGAATCCGAAAGCTAAATGGATCAGAAAAATAACGCCCTGTTTCTTGTCATGACATGCCTCTCTGTACTTACTCTTCTTTTTCTTCACATGGGTGTTAGGTTTTGCCTATTTCCGTATTTTCACGTATTTCACGCATATCTTAGAATATCTGTCCAGCTGTGCCTCTCTTGCCCCACTGCCCTCATAGTTGCAACTCCAGCAGTGCCCTACTCCTCCTAGCACAGATGACTAGATTCAGGCAGACACTGGACTTAAACAAGACTGATCAAATTATTTTTAGAAATTTAAAAAACAGGTGTATAAGACAGCTAGAGTGGTCCACAAACTTCAGAGCTTTAAGACAGCCACTTTCTACTAGTGCTCAAATAAGCTGAAAAAAATTCTGCTCCTAAGAATAGAGTAGATGTGCAGAGAGAGGCCGTGACACCAGTGGGAGAGGGACCCTCTTGGATGGCAATTGATTCTCTAGCACAGCCACTCTCTGCCCCCAGAGATCCCCCTGAATCATTATAGACATTCTCCTTCCTTCCTCTGGTGTCTGTGCTTCCCCAACACAAAGAACACTGGTTAAGACACTACAGGAGTTAGGCCTTATGAAGAGAAAGCCACAGTCCATTACCTAACTGCCTTGTAGAAGACAACAGAAAAACCCTCAAATGTCTACTAAAAAAAGACTTTTTAAAAAATATTTTATTTATTTATTCATGAGAGACAGAGAGAGAAGCAGAGACACAGGCAGAGGGAGAAGGAGGCTCCCTGCAAGGAGAATGACGTGGGACTTGATCCTGGGACCCCAGGATCATGCCCTGAGCCCAACGTGGGACTCCATCCCAGGACCCCGGGATCACACCCTGGCCAAAGGCAGATGCTCAACTACTGATCACACCCTAGGCCCCAAGAAAGACTCTCGAATACAGCGGAGATGGGAGAACTAGAAAGAAAGATAAGAACATTTTTAGAAGATAAAGTCTTAAGTGTCCTCCTGCTTTCCCCAGTGAAGTCTTATCTATGTCAAGTCACTCAACGCCAGTATACTCAACGGGATTATGATTTTGCCCTTAATTATATAAAACATCTTCCAATGTTTCACATTATTGATGTGTCTCCCTTGTCTTTACGACTATATTCTACATTCCCAAAAGACCAGGAAAGAGGTCTCTTATATACAGATGTACTCATGCATGCATATATATCTCACTATCTATATATCTTCACAGCATTATGGAGAACACCAAATGCGAATCTTGGGAAAACCTGCTGAAAGGTAAAAGTGCTTTATGAATATGGTGGGTTACCAATGCCTGGGGAGTTTAGTTGTTGGGAAATACAATTTACATGTGTACTGATTGGTTCTGATTAAAAAAAAAATTGTACTGAGTTACAGGTGGTGGTGGGGATGGGGACCCAGTCTAAAACTCTTTCCAGTAATTAAGCCTACTTCCAAAATGTAGTTATGGAGGTCCTAACTAGAGTGGTTGCCCTTGGGATGCCCTTTGTAACAGGAATAACAGCCCCTTTACTGAGAACTTAGTACGTGCCAGGCATATAAGTTATCTCACTTAATCCTCATGTTTAGGCATTATTATTTCCAATTTTAATAAACTTTCATATTTTGAAACTGGTTCAAAAATCATAACATTATAAAAAAGAAACAGTAAGAAGTCTTGCTCTCACCCTGTCCCTATCCACTCCATTATCTCCCACCCACATGGTAACTACTTTTGTTGGTTTCCTGTACATTCTTCTAGAGCATCTTTAGGCAAATCATTTATCCCCTTTCTTACACAAAGGCAACACCTTGGGTTCCTCTCTCACTTAAATATGTCCTGGAGATTTTCTCACATCAGTATTTACAGACCCTTTTCCTGGTGTTTTTTTTTTTTTTTTTTTTTTTTATATAGCTATACAGTATTCTATGGTGTGAGTGTACTATTATTTATGTAGCCAGTTCCCTCCCTATCAATGAACATGTGGGTTGTTTTCAATGATTTGCTATTATGAACAATACGGCAGTAAGTAACTTGGAACATTATATGTTATAGTCTGTTTTCTATTTTCCATAGAGCTTTATAGGGCACACACCAGGCACTCAGATATCTTATTAATAAAGCAACTATTATTACTGTACCTAAACATTAAAATGAAATTCCTATTGAAATTTCTGAAATGATCCTCACAAGAGAATTTCTATTCATTATAGCATTTAAGTCCTAGAATAGCCCTTTGAAATATGCCATGCATTTAAATCAATAACCTAAATTTTGCCAAATTGTGAAACTTTTCACTAAACCCTCTTATTCAGCTGCCTAGTTTAACTTTGCTTCTTTTAGGCATCTAACAGGGTCACATGTACAGAGACAGAGGGATCTTTTAAACCTGCTGGGTTCACATAGCCAGGATGAATGTGAATTTGAACTAGCGTATTGTAAGAGGGGCTAGATAATGAAACACTTGCCAATGAATGAACTTATCAGTTTTTCTATTTTGCATTTTTCCCCAAGAAAAACTAATTTATTAATGTAAGCAAGACTTTGAAACTTGTTCTACTTATGTTAAAATATTAATCTAAGAAGCCCGGTGGCTCAGTCAGTTAAGTGTCTACCTTCAGCTTGGGTCATGATCCTACGGTCCTGGGATTGAGCCCCAAGTCAGGCTCCCTGCTCAGTCTTTTATTTATCTGACTTTGTGTCAAATAAATACAATCTTTTTAAAAAAAATACTGATCTAAGATGGATCCTATTAGGAAATAACAGTAACTCTCATATCCTTATGTGATTCCAGGCCATGATCTCTTATTGTCATGCAGTTATTATTATAACAGTTACTGCAAGCACCTGCCAACTAGTCTCCCCACCTTTAGTTTGTGCAACACTCCAATTTATTTTCTATACTTCCTCTGACAAGCAATTTTCCTAAACTGCCAATTTAGAAATCTGGTCTTTCCTCTGGGTAAAGACCTTCAAAGACTTTGGTGTCAAGTCTAAAGCGTTTACTCTGGCTTACATGGACTTTTGGGATCTGACTCTTGCTTATATCTCTGGCCCTATTTCTTGGTATCCTCTTTCTCACTCTCTATTCCTGGGCTACTGAACTTTTTTTTTTTTTTTTCCTATCTCTGAAAGCATTAGCCTTTCTCTTACTTCTAGGCCTCCACACAAATCATTTCTGTCTGTTCCCTCCCCATCCCATCAGAGCACACTTCAGTATCATTGCCTCCAGGAAGATTTCCCTGACCTTACAATCCCTAACCCAACCCAATCCAAACAAACATGGCTGAAGGGCATCATCTCATACACTCTCCAATCGCACCTGCACTTTCCCATCAAAGTACATAGTACTCTGTCCTGAAGGTGCTTATTTGTCTTTCTCCCCTCCATGTCCCTCAGATTATAAGCATCACGTGAATAAAAACCTCTTGCCTTCCTCAAACCATAGCAATTCCATGATGCTGAAATATTGCTTGACAAAACAGATGGCTGAAATTCTTTTAGGAAATACTGAAATAAGTAATAAATCACATCCGTTGAGGGTGAGAGATGGCACTGGGGAAGAAGTGGTATGTGAGGTGGGAACTTGGACATGGGTAGATCTTGGACAAGAAGAGAGGAAAGTCTATAGGAACTACGTAAGCAGAGGCAAGAAAAAACAATTCAAAATCAGATTCATGAAGATACATGAAGGGAGACAATATAAAACTGGAAAGTTGGGTTACAAATCCACATATTCTAATTAGGTACAATAATTTTTGCAACTTTATTAAAATGACAACTAAAAAATGTTACCAATTAATCTCTGAAATGGGGAGGGGCCCCTTGGTGGTGCAGTCAGCTAAGTGTCCGACTCTTGGTTTCAGCTCAGGTCTTGACCTTGAGATCAAGCCCTGCATTGGGCTCCAAGCTCAGCAAGAAATTTGCTAAAATTTTCTCTCCCTCTTCCTCTTTCCCTCCCAGTTCTTGCTCATTCTCTCTCTCTAAAAATAAATTTAAAAAAAACCCACCACCAAAAATTCTGAAATGGACTAATAACTTCCTAAATAACTGTAATAATTAAAATACTTCCTATACACGGTGCCAGACCTGAAGCATTTTTTTTACCTTGTGCTTTTTCAGAGTATCCAGATCATGAGCAGCATCTTGTGACCCTATAAGAAATAAATCATATCACCAAGATCATAAAAATAATCATCCTTTTTTATCTAATTTTTACAATAATCCTATTAGTTATTCATTTATTTTAAAAATACAACTTGGGAGGACTTCAATGCAGCACTCTAAAAGACAATTTAGAAATATTCATTAAGGGGTGCCTTGGTGGCTCAGTTGGTTAAGCACATGCCTTTGGCTCAGGGAACCTGCTTCTCCTGCTCCCACTCCCCCTGCTTGTGCGCTCTCTTTGTCAACTAAATAAATAGAAACATTGATTTAAAAATATTCATTTTGTATATATCTTGTCTTCTAAAATCCCACTTCTAACAATTTGTCTTAAACGTCCCTGGTATTGCAAAGATTAGCTATCAGGATGTTCATTATAGTATTGTTTATAATACAAAAAACAAACAAAAAACTCCAAAACAAATAAAAATTTTCAACCAAAAGCCTAATAATAAGGGTTGGGTTAAATAAGATAGGGTACACTGATGTAGTGAAATATATATATACAACCATTAAAATGAGACTGCACAGGCACCTGGCTGGCCCAGTGCATAGAGCATGTGACCCTTGATCTCAGAGTCATGAGTTTGAGTCCCACATTCGGGATAATTTACTTAAAAAAACAAAAACAAACAAACAAACAAAACAACCCAACGAGAATACAGAATATTTCTGGCAAGGAAATATATTCTCAATATATAAAGTGATGATACCATTAGGTTACAAAACACCATCATCCATTTTTATAAAAAAAAAATATGTATATGCCTAAAAATGACAGGAAGTACTTTGAACAAAATATTTACAGTAGGTTTACGGGTGATTTTTCTTTGTCATGCTCATTTGTGTTTTTTACAATACATACCTATTTCTTTTGTAACTTGAAAAAGGGTAATAAAAAACCACCCACAAAATGACTTGGTGCCATTTGGCTATGGAATACCCAATAGTTTAGAGCAAACACTGCTGGTCCCTGAATTCCACCCACATTCCGTGTACCACCAGGGCCATCCCCTTGTACCAGTTCTTCCTGTCAGAGCTGGCTCTCCAGATCTACCAAACTTTGAAAATGACTCTGGCTAATAAGCAAGATCAAACAGGAGATAACTGGTTAAAACAAAGTGAGTTAAAACATTTGAAAACACAGGGCATTTATTATTTAAAGATTTCAAATATTTTACTTTCCTAAATTAGGATCCATTTCTATGCACAATGTTTTTCTCACCCTACCTACCTGGGGAACCTGTCAGCTTCTATTATGTGATTTTAGATAGCTGAGAAGCCAGCAAGTACATTGGTTGGCCAATATTCTCCTAGTAATCTGAAACACACTGGTTTCTTACCGAGCCTACACTTAACTCTATTCCTAAAAATTAGTCTATCAAAATATCAACATCTGTTAAAGCTGGATGGTGGATACGTAGCTTTCTGTAATATCACGGTCTGTAATTTTCTATACATTTGAAATACTTCGCAATTAAAAAATAATTTTAGTTTCCTGCAGGAAGTTCTAACTATCTCTGGGGGAAAAAATGGCTTCTAATAAATTCAATGCAATTTAATTTAATTATTTAAATAATCTTTTAAATAATGATTAGCTCTTCTCTGCCTATTTCTTAAAATAGCAAAAAGAAAATTAAACATGCATAAATGAAATTCTTTTTTTAACCCTAAATTGCCATTATTATACTTACCAAAGCTAGATACTTTGATCATTTCCATTAAACACATACACACCAACACAATAGGTTGATCATATTATCAGAATTGGCTGCCACATTTTGAAAGTCACTTCCAGAATATGAACTCTATTGCAACAAATCTATTACTCTTGAGACCAAAAAAATGCAACTTGTATGCTCTGCCTTTTCAAGCAGTAAGAAAATCATGAGTGTGTTAATAGGTGGGGCAACAATTTAGTCAGCATAAATGGATTGGAGGTAATTGGCTTGTATGTGTCATCTAATATTTGGTAGTATTAGAGTTCAAGTTAATTCCCTCTAAATTCTAGATATAAACATCAGCTTTTCTCCTTTTTTAAGTGGTTGCCTTGTGTTACAGTCCTGTGTTAAATTTTTATTGGAAAGATACATCATTGGACAGCCCGGGTGGCTCAGTGGTTTAGCACCACCTTCAGCCCAGGATGTGATCCCGGGATCCAGGATCCAGTCCCACATCGGGCTCCCTGCATGGAGCCTGCTTCTCCCTCTGCCTGTGTCTCTGCCTCTCTCTGTGTCTCTCATGAATAAATAAAATCTTAAAAATAAAGAAATAAAATAAAAATATAATTTGCAAAGCTTAGGGCAAAAATGTTAAGAGCTTTTTGTTGACCTGTGAGATAGTTCAAGGGCCTACATAAGATTTTTGAGATGCAAAAGCTGGTCTGAATTTATGAGCTACCTGAAAAAGATTAGTTTTACGGCTTTCCTTTATTCCCCACCAAAACCAAGTTATTTTATATAGTGCTGGGTGGGAATTGTGTTGCTGTGAAGAGATGAAGCTCTTTGAAGCAAACCTAGAAACAATTCCATCTCCAGAGAGAAACTCAGTCTGGCCAGAAACAACCCCTGCATCACTCATGCGGAAGAATTCAGATGTCATCATCCAGGGGTCCCTGGGGGATAAGGCACATGTAACCAGGCAGTAAAAGGTCCATCTACCTCTCACAGGAGAGGAGGCTGTACCTGATAAAAACATATCCCACTTCCTGGTCCAGAGAGGAGCCCATGGAAGCTCTAATTCCACAAGTCTCTCCCAGAACTCTCCCAGGATTCTGGGAAGGGCTCCAAGGCCAGTCTGAGAATATTACCTTGATCAGCTCACTTTGGCTAAGCCTAGATTTAAAAAAAAAAAAAAAAAATCACAAGCAAAGTTCATGAGAGAGAGAGAGTGAAGAGATTATTTTAAATTTCTACCATAGTGGGGCAGCCCAGGTGGCTCAGGGGTTTAGCGCCGCCTTCAGCCCAGGATGTGATCCCGGGATCCAGGATCCAGTCCCACATCGAGCTCCCTGCATGGAGCCTGCTTCTCCCTCTGCCTGTATCTCTGCCTCTCTCTCTGTGTGTCTCTCATGAATAAATAAATAAAATCTTTAAAAAAATAAAATAAAATAAAATTCAACCATAGTATTTTAAACCATTATTGCTGCAATGGAGGCTGAATAACCAAAAAAGGTGCCTGGGTGTGTTTTCCTTCCTAGGAAGGGTGGTGTGAAAGTCCTGGGTAAACCTTTCAGACTAGCTAAATGACCCCTTAATTTTTCACTGGGCTTTGGAAACTAGCTGGGGACATCTATCTGAAATGCAAGATAGCTCATGGAGCAATTCGTGCACCACATAACACAGTAACAAATCCGGTGTGAGCTGCGGTTTAATTTGTTTCAAAGACTTTTCACCACCTCATGATAACCCTGTAAGAGAAACAGATACCTTGGCCTTAGTTTTACAGGTTTCTCGGGGAACCACAGAGAATGAAGGACTTGTGCTAGTTCATCTACCAAGAGGCCGAGCAGGACGGAAAACCTGATTTCCTGGGGCATCCTAAACCACAGTGTAGACCAGGAGTGGATCAGACTCGGGCTAGATGCCCAGCTCTGTCATGTACTATGCGTGTTACCTTGTGCAAACTACCTAACCCTTGTTAAATCCAGTTCCCATCTGTGAAATGGAGCTGATCATCCCTACTTTATTATTTTTTTAAATATTTATTTATTTATTCATGAGAGACAGAGAGGCATAGACACAGGCAGAGGGACAAGCAGGCTCCATGCCAGGAGCCTGACACGGGACTCGATCCCGGGACTCCAGGATCAGTCCCTGGGCTGAAGGCGGTGCTAAACCACTGAGCCACCCCGGCTGCCCCGATTATCCCTACTTTATAAAGAGAGATGGTGTTTTTGTTTTGTTTTGTTTTTAAAGGAGATGCTGTGTGCGCTGCACAACAGGATGTGGCTATTTCTGACGCCCACCAGCTCAGGGTTTGTTCTACTCAAGAATGCATATATATGGACAAATCACTGGTCTTTCCAAGTCATAATTTCTCTATTCACAAATGAAAAAGAATCCAAATCTACTTAACACGTTGCTGTCTTTTTTTTTTTTTTTTTAAAAAAGGACTAGTATAGGGGATCCCTGGGTGGCCCGGCAGTTTAGCACCTGTTTTCAGCCCAGGGTCTGACCCTGGAGACCCGGGATTGAGTCTCACGTCGGGATCCCTGCATGGGGCCTGCTTCTCTGCCTCTCTCTCTCTCCCTCTCTCTGTCTCTCATGAATAAATAAATAAATAATCTTTAAAAAAAAAAAAAAAAAAAAAGACTGCCGTAACAAACTCTTGCCAAGTCAACAGGTGTGTGTGCTTTTCATACCTGTGCTTCATTTACTACCTGTGGACCACGCACTGTATAGGGAAACAATATTCTCCACCATACAAGAAATCATAAAACTGGGATGCCTGGGTGGCTCAGGGGTTGAGCGTCTGCCTTGGGCCCAGGGCATGACCCCGGGGGGTCCTGGAATCGAGTCCCACATCGGGGTCCCTGCATGGAGGCTGCTTCTCCCTCTGTGTCTCTGCCTTTCTCTCTCTGTGTCTCATGAATAAATAAATATTTTTTTTAAAAAGGGAAATCATGGGCAGCCCCGGGGGGTCAGCTGTTTAGCGCCGCCTGCAGCCCAGGGCTGACCCTGGGGTCCCAGGATCGAGTCCCGCGTCGAGCTCCCTGCATGGAGCCTGCTTCTCCCTCTGCCTGTGTCTCTGCCTCTCTCTCTCTCTCTGTCTCTATGAATAAATAAAAAAATAAAATCTTTAAAAAAAAAGGAAATCATAAAACTACCAAATTCATAACTACAAAATAAAGTCTCCTATTCCTTCAAGTCTTGCATCCCTCCGTAAGACTCCGAAAGCAGGCCCTTGGATGGGCCGCGGGAGGCTGGCCTTCCACCGGGTTCCCAGCAGCCCAGGAGGCAACAGGCACTTGGCTGGTTCATTTCTGTGACCTCAACCCTTGCCTCTTCACAGTCTTACCTAATGAAAGCATTCCTTTTAACTTGATGATTTGGGAGCCTATACCCGTGTATGATCCAAGAAAATGCAACGTGGACACGCTATCCTGCAGGAAAAAAAAAAAAAAAAAAAAGCACCAGGACGTAAGTTGTTCTCAAATCCAAGATCCAAGCAGCAGGTGCGGGGCGCTCCCAGCACCTGGGCTTCTTGCGGGTTATGCTGTGGGGCAGACACCACCGGCCGGCCCTCGCCAAGTCCCAAATCTAAGAAATAAGGAGACATTTCGGCTTTTCGGGAAGCTGCCTGATGAGACTAGAGCACCGCGCATCCGGGGGGAGGCGGGGGGACCCGAGGAAGATTCAGGGCCCGAAGGGGGGGCGGAGGCAGCGGCAGGTGCGCGGACTCACCCAGCAGCAACCAGGGCTTCAGGACGCCGACCCGCAGGTCGAGGCTGAGGTCCGGCACGAATCCGCAGCTGCCCCCGCGGCCCGGCGGCCCGGCCTCCACCACGACACCCCGCGCGCCGTCCCATGTTTCTATGGTGGTCCTCCCGGTCAGCGAGGTCACCCTGGTGCATTGCTTCCGGAGGCCCTTCCGGGAGAAGGCTCTAATCTCCTGGCTAAGGGCGTGCATGCCCCGCTCCCCCTGCGCCCGGCCCGCCACCCGCGGCCGGCGAGCCCGGGCGGAACCGGAAACGGCCGGGGAGGAGCGCGGAGTGCGCCTGCGCCTGCGCCTGCGCCGGGGGCGTCGCCGTCGCAGTAAGGAGGCGTCTGATTGGCCGCCGCCGCGCCCCGGGGGTCGCTACTTCCGGCGCCCGCCCCTGCCCCGCTCCCCGCGCTGGGCCGGCCGCCGGGCTCCTTCCGGCTGCTGTTGGCTCTGGCTCTTTTTTTTTTTTTTGTAAGATTCTACTTATTGGTTGGTGAGGGACGCCGAGGCGCGGGCAGAGGGAGCGCAGGCGCCCTGCGGGGCGGTGATGCGGGGCTCGGTGCGGGACCCCGGGGCACGCCCTGGGCCGAAGGCGGAGCCCCCCCCCCGCCGAGCCCCAGGCGCCCCCAGGTCGGCCGCGGTTACCCCCGCGGGAGCTCCGGGCCCTCCGGGCGGGCACTGCGGGCGGAGCCGCTCCGCGTCGCTGCGGACCCCGCGCAGGGGCCACGGCGGCAGGCGCGGGACGGGGCCAGGGCTCCCGGGCTCCTCCGCGGAGACCCCCCGCGGGACACCCCGTCTGCGGAGCCCCCTCCCCCCGCGGAGACGCCCCCGTCCTCGGAGCCCCCACCCGGGCGCGGATCTGCCTCTCCGCGGAGCTCCCTCCCCCCGCGGAGCACACCCCCGGCAGCGGGGACCCCTCCCCCCCGCGGAGACGCCCCCGTCCTCGGGGACCCCTCCCCCCCGCGGAGCCCTCTCCCCCCCATGGAGCAACCCCCCCGCGGAGCCCCCTTCACCCCCCCATCCTCGGAGCCCCCCTCGCGGAGCCCCTCCCTCGCCTCGAACCCCCGCGGAGCCCTCTCCCCCCCCCAAGGAGCAACCCCCCCGCGGAGCCCCCTACCCCCCCCGCGGAGCCCTCTCCCCCCCATGGAGCAACCCCCTCCCGCGGCCCCCCCCTCCCCCCCGCGGAGCCCTCTCCCCCCCATGGAGCAACCCCCCCGCGGAGCCCTCTCCCCCCCATGGAGCAACCCCCCCGCGGAGCCCTCTACCCCCCGTCCTCGGAGCCCCCCCGCGGAGCCCTCTCCCCCCCCCCCCCGCGGGGCCCCCTCCGCCGGCGCTGCGCTCCCGGGCGTTTGTTGCCCGAACACGGGGCGGGGGGGTAGATTCGTGAGACAAAGCCGCAGAAATCACGCCGATGTTCTCTGTGCGGTTGAGAGGGGCTCGGATCTCGCCCCCCGCCCCCCGCCCCCCCCATATTGACTCGCCCTCGTTGGAGCCCTGCTTGCAGCGAATGCGCGCTCTTGAAGTCTCCCTTACACGGCTTCGGCTTCGGGAACGCGGGTACGCGAGCACTCGGTGCCCGGCGCCTCGACTACGGGACAGGGCTCTGCTTACAAAGGGACGGCGCGTTGTGCAATCGAAATCACGAGATTAGGGCAGCCCGGGTGGCGCAGCGGTTAGCGCCGCCTTCGGCCCAGGGCGTGACCCTGGAGACCCGGGATCGAGTCTCGCGTCGGGCTCCCTGCATGGAGCCTGCCTCTCCCTCTGCCTGTGTCTCTGCCTCTCTCTGTCTCTCATATGAGTAAATAAATAAAATCTTTAAAAAAGAAATGATGATTAAACACGAAGGTTCCTTATCCCGCTTATTAAATGCTCTTACTAAGGCGTGTATTTGCACTTGCATACAGTGAAGAAGTTGCACTTAACAAAAACTCCCTCCCCCCCCCCCCTCCACGACATACCCGACTTTTCCTCGTTTTGAAGTTTTCTGCTGTAGAACTCAAATAAACCAAGCTTCTCCCTGTTGAAGAATGAGCTCCAACACCCGGCTATCCACAGGGCCCTCCAACATAAAGAGCTGGAAAAAATGCTTTGCACCATCTCCACGATCACAGGTTCATCAAAATCAACTCTAAGCACACATTACTCTATATGTTTATCATACAATGATAAAAGAGGGGGGAGCCCTATTAAATATTGAGCATTTCCTACTTGCTAGGAAGTGTGCTTGCAAGCAAGCAGTTTTTAGATTCTCAGTGCTATCCATCAGGTGCTTAATGGTGGTTTATACACATTATCCCATCTGATCTCACCACAAGCCTATTAGGGACATAGTAGTATAATCATCTGCATTTTACAACTGAGTGAACTCAGACACGGAGAAAGCAAATAACATATCCTACACTTCACAGCTCCTAAGTTTATAACTACAAATAAAACCTACGTTTGTTTTAATCCAATGCCTTAGCTCTTATTTTCTTTGAAATAGTGCCTCACTCCCCCCAAAATTACAGCTAACAAATACTTATCGAGTATCTGCTATGTGCCAGGCACTATCACAGTCACTGGGGATGTAGCACTGAATAAAAACAGTCCCCTCTTTCGTGGAGCTTGTATCCAAGTGGAGGGAGCAGATGGATAGACAATCAATATATAACCACATTAGGTCATGATTTAAGTGCTAAAAAGAAAAATTAAGTGAGATAAGGGAACAGAGTGAAGGCACAATGTGCTATTTGCCATGGGTCAGTCAGTGAGAGAAAGGCCCTCTGATAAAGTGAATTTTGAGCAGAAATTTGAATAAAGTTCAAGAGCCAGACCTTCCCCGCCATCTGGGAGAAGAGCTTTGCAGATGGAAGAAATAGCAAGTGACACAGAAATGTACTGGTGGGAGGAAAGAGATGGAGACATTTAGGAAACTTAACGGGTGGCTAACGTGGAGTTTGGGAGAGTGAGGGGAAGAGTGGTAAGAGAGGAGGTCAAGAGGAAAATGGTAAAGACTTCGGGTTTTACACTGAGTGAGATGGGAAGCCACGTGGTGGATCCCCCTTCAGCGAATGCCTGTTGCCGGGGTGGGGGGGTGGGGGGGTGCTTTTGACACTCCCCTTAGGGACCGCCTCACCTGCAGAGAGCAGGTGTGCCTTCGGTTGTGCCCCTCACAGGACAGACCACATCCACGACTGATGGATGAGGAAGCACAAAGGCCTGGCCATCTTAGCCCAATTTGAAACGACTCTGCAGGGCACCGTGGGTTTAAAGTCCAGCATGTGGTTGGCCGAGCCTGTCACTGGGCATGAAAACCTCTTGGCTTCTCGGTCTGCCCAGGCCTGATCCTTCCCTTCACTTCCACAATTGCTGATACCAAGGCCAATCCTTAAAAAAAGTCCTGCATGTCCGAACTCAACCTTAGTCTGCTTCTGGGAAAACGCAATCCATGACAAGTGATGTGACATTATCCTTCTGCTGCAGAAGGATCTTTCTGAAGGCTGCTGTGAGGGTGGGGGGGGGTTGCGGAATGGAGGCAGGGAGATTTGTTAGGAGGCTCCTGCAGTGGTCCACGTGGGAGAAGACAGTGGCTTGGGCTAGAACGGCAGCAGAGGCAGAGGTAACAGGTAGGCAGATCCTAGATGCATATATATGGGAACCAAGCCAAGGGGATGTGTTAGCAGATTAATGTGGAGATTAGGATAATTACGAGGATTTTTGGTCTAAGCAACTAACGAGATTTGCAATTTACCAAGAAAGGGGTGATGTGCAGATGAGAAGTTCACTTTGGGACGTGGTAAGTTTAATGTGCCTATTAATCAACCAAGTAGATATGCCAGGTGCACAGCCGCACCTATGAATCTGGACTTCATAGAAAGGATCTCTGCCAGAGGTGTGAATTTTGGAGTAATTGGCTCAAAGGTGCCTTTTAATGCCCAGAGCCTGGGGCGCCTGGGTGGCTCAGTCGGTTAGGCGTCTGATCACGGCTCAGGTCACGATCTCAGGGTCCTGGGTTGGAGCCCCGCGTGGGGCCCCTCTCCCTTTGTCTCTCCCCATCCCCACTCATGTTCGTTCTCTCTTGTTCGCTAGTTCTTGCTCCTTCTGTCTCCGATAAGTAAAACCTTAAAAATAAATAAATAAAGTCATGAGACTAAACATGATGATCCAGTAGTGAAAACTGATGGAGAAGCCTGCCGCCTATGACCTCATTCAGGGGAGAGGAGGAAGAGGAGGATCCAGCAAAGCAGAGTAAGAAGAGGTCTCAAAGATCAGAAGGAAAAGGGAGAGGGGAGCCCGAGAGTACAAACAGAGTGTTTCAAGGACAGTGTGATCGACTGTCACATGCTTCATGCTGCCCGTGGTGTTAAGAGGGAAACCGAGCACTGTTACTGGATGTAAAGGCCTCCTCAGCCAGAACAGATGCTGTGTCCCCGCGCTGTAGGTGCAGCATCTGATCCAGTCCTCCTGACAACACCATGGGGCAGATACTCTCTACTACATTTTTTTTTTAAGAAAATGACATTTAATTTGGAACTTAAGGACCTAGTCGTTGGTCACGGACTGCGGGTTGGTTTGTTGGATTCTAAGAACACGAGGAGCACAGGTGCATCTTACTCAAAAGCCCGTGTCCTGCTCGCCACAGCCCTCTCCGAGGACGGGAGGACTCGGTCTGGCACCTGCCCACGACGTGTGCCTCGGCGCCTGCAAGCTTGCAGCAGCCCCACGCGGAGGCCGGCACACGGCTCTGATCCCAGCTCTCTGGATTCAGTGTTTAATGCTTGTTCTATGCCGCTACATGGGCTTCCCAAAAGCCCTTTGAGGGCAAGACTCCTTTTCACCTAGCTAGCCTGGATGCAAAGGGATTGGGGATGCAGAGGGATTGGGGGAGCCCCGATCTCCGGGACTGGAGTATGGGCAGCAGACAGAGAAGAGGCAAAGTGTTAGGGGGCCCAGGCCAGAGGCAGAGGGCAGAGGCTCATCCATGGAGGAAGCCTTGCCTATGCAGGGACACCACCGGCAAGGGAGTATCCTGGAAGAGGGCGACATCCTCTCAGAGCCCAAGGGGCACCCCATGTAACTTCCCTCTTCTAACAGATTTAGAGTATTTATGCCAAGTGCGGTACTCGGCATTTTCCAAGTATTATCTCTAGTCCTCCCACAAATCCCACTTTACTCAGATAAAGTAATCGAAATGCAAAGTACAAGTAAGCAGTGGCTCTAGTATTCAGTCTCAGGTCTGTTGGATCCCAATGCCCACTTTCATCCTGCTACAAAATGCATTCAGACATATTACATAATAAAATCATCATGGGAATATGTACTCTTACTTCACATAGGACCTATATGGGTAAAAACATTTATAAATATTAAAAAATATTTTTTGCATTACAGTTTGGGGCTTGAGTTAATGGTCCCCATTCTGCACGTCACTGAGAATGTGCAGACATAGGCTGAAATGCATACAGAGAAAAACCAAGCTTCTCTTGTGATTATGGCACTGTTCCCTGTGCAAGCTTTGTAAAGATATTTCCAAAAACTCAATTCAATTAAAACAAGTTTCAATGCAGATTTTTCTTTATGGCTGCAATGCCTATAGTATGAAAGGCATGCTCCAGTTTGTTACTGGAGCATTTTCATTACATAACATTTTTTGTTTACATATGCATGGCCATAGTGATAATACAATGGTTAAGGACCTCACATGGCCCAAAACAATGGAGATCTTTCAAAGCCTGGAGAAAGAGATTTTAGGATATAACTTAGAACTTTAGAGTTCAATTCTTTGTCATATACATTTTTTAAAAAGTAGGTTTCACATAATTGTCTAATTCTTTTTCATCTTTTCTATCTCCCCTCAAAAAACAAATGGTTTTTGTTTTAATTTTTGAAATCAATAACATGCTAGGTATATGAGTTTATCTCTATTGCAGCCACGGTTCAAAACCATATAACTAGGAAACAAATCAACCAACAAGCATTTATGGCATATCTGCAACGAACATAATATTTCTCCAAGGGTAGTAAAAGTAGAAAAAAAATTGGCATTTGATTGCATTTAAGATACTATTGAGTACACAGTATTATTTTGTATACCACCAGGAGAGAATATATTCTGCCCTTGAAACTATTACAATGTTTAAGATGTCAATTTTTGTTGTAAGATGCTTCTTGACTTTAGGAAAGTTAATAATATGAAAAAATGTGCATTTTTGGAGTTGATAAAATTAAACAACTAAAAATAGATCCTGATTTCCAAGAGCTCACAATGCTATTTTGGGGACAGGGGAATCAACCAAGAAAAAAATAAATCACAGAATAGGAAAAACAGTATTTGCAAAAATATAGAAGTAACAAAAAAATCCACACTGTGGGACAACAATATGAATTAGCTTTCTAGCTATAAAGAAAGGATGCTTGTTGGGAATAAAATTTATGCAGTATGGGGAGTCTAGGTTATAAAAAGCTTCAAATACCAGGTGGAAATGTTTGGGCTTGCAGTGTCTAGGAACAGTAAAAGTGACATGATAAGAAATATTTTATTATATAGGCTGAAGAAAATAATCAGAAGACCAATTAGAAAAGCAAAGAAATAATCCAGGTATAAGGGACATGACAACTTGGATTACATTGAATCCCATAAGAACTGATGGCTTAAAAGGCAGTTTTCAAAAATAAGTGAAAGATTTTGAAAGAATGAATGAAGAGATTGAACAAAGAGGTTCATCAAACACAATATGAAAATTTAAAGCTAGGGCAACGTGAACTCTAGTCTCATGAGGGTTATGAGTTTAGTTTTATAGAGTGTCGAGGAACCCAATTTATTTATTTATTTAATACCTGCCATTTTGTAAGCCTTCAATAAATTTTTCACAAGGGAGTGAGGAAAGCCATGACATCTGGGTTGAGTTGAAGCCATTCACATAGAGGTGATGGTTCAATGAGAAAATATGAATTTCTCAAAAGAGCCAGTTTAGAGAAAGCCCAGTCAAGGACAATGCCCTGGGCGACAAACTTTGGAGGCCTGAAAAGCAGGTGAAACATGAATAGAAACCAGATAAGGAGAAGTCATGAAAGCTAATAGAAAATATGGGCTGTGTAATCAAAGGTTAAATAGAGTTTAAAACAAACAGTTGCCCAACTATATAAGAAGTTACAGAGAGGCCAGGGTACAGAGAACCAACAAAAGATAACTCGACATGATAAAATGAGATCAGAAAAAAAAAAGATAAAATGAGATCAGCTGGTGATTTTTCTTGGAATGGCTTCATCAGAGTGACAGAGACAGCTGTCAAATTAGAGGGGCTGAAGGGATTTGATGGATTGGATGCAAAGACAGATGTAGGTCATGCTCAAAATCCTACATTATCAATGACAAAAAATTCCCCTTCTATGCCATCATCCTCAAGTAATGTTAACCTCTCCACTTTCTTTCAGGAATTTATTGATTTATTTATCTCATTTAAACGTCTTTAATTACATTATATTATATGTATAATTATGTGTAATTATACATATTTTTAAAATATTTATTTATTTTGGAGACACAGAGTGCAAGTAGGGGGAGGGGCAGAGGGTGAGGGAGCTAGAATCTCAAGCAGACTCTGCGTTGATCATGGAGCCTGTTGCAGAGCTTGATCCCAGGACGGTGAGACCATGACCTGAGCCGAAATCAAGAGTTGGATGCTTAACTGACTGAGCTACCTAGGTGCCCCTCTAATTATACATTATATATATATACACACACACACACACTTATTTATTTATTTATTTATTTATTTATTTAAATATTTATTTATATATATTAACTTATGATATTTTTATTTAAAATGATAGATATGGAGAACTGTGAACAAATTATTTTTTAAAAATTAGGAATAATATGGATAATGTTAACTAAGTTAATAAAAGCCTAGGATATTTAAAAATACTAGGGAGTGTATTTTGCAGTTTAAAAGAAGTAATTTTAAGTCAACCAAAAGAACGTGGTGGGTCGTAATGTTAACCGATTATGTTGTCTAAAGCACCGAAATAAGGAAACAACAGAATAATGGTCAAGAAATTTATTTTTATTTTTTTTAAAGATTTTATTTTTATTTATTCATAGAGACAGAGAGAGAGGCAGAGACACAGGCAGAGGGAGAAGCAGGCATCATACAGAGAGCCCAACATGGGACTCGATCCAGGGCCTCCAGGATCACGCCCTGGGCTGCAGGCGGTGCTAAACCGCTGCGCCACCAGGGCTGCCCAATGGCCAAGAAATTTAGAAAATGTTTGGGTCATACATCAACTGATCTAATCCATTAAGGAAACCATCTATATTTCTGGATTTTAGATGGATTAATTAGAAAGCCATAGTGCTTTCCTTTAAAATGTGTCTTGGTGTCATGGGTAGAATAGGTGATGGGGACTGAGTAATGTGTAGAATTTTTGAACCTCTATATTGTATGCCTGAAACTAATATGACACTGTATGTTAACTATACCAGAGTTAAAATTAACGATTTTTCAACAATGTGTCTTGATGTCAACAGTCAGCTGAATGACCACTTGGTCCAATGCAATGTGACATTTCTTCTATTTTTATCTTCAATCTTCTCAACTAAGTCAAGAGTTCATAGTAACTTTTGTTTCTCTGGAGATACTCAAAAGGAACTATATATTTATCTGAAGATATCTCTAAAAATATTCTATGACAATGAGTAGTAAAAGCTAGAATCACTAGAGCTAAGCACATAGATGAAAGTACTCCTTCTTTTCAAAAAATTGGTTATTTAAGTGCTTATGTTGGCAGCGCATATACTAAAATTGGAAAAATATAGAGAAGGTTAGCATGGTCCCCATGCAAGGATGACATGCACATTTGTGAAACATTTCATATTTTTAAAAAATGGTTATTGAAAACTAAGTTAAGTTGGGATTAGACTATGTAGAGTGAAAGGATTTTTTTCTGATCTCTGAGAGGTCATTCATTTGATGGTAGTTCAGTCTTTTACTTCCTGATGGTCCGATTTAAAAGACCAAGATTGAAAGACTTCAGATTTTAAAGATTTGGATTTAAATACATTGATAAATAAGCATTTAGCAGGAAGAGGGGTAAGGCATATTGGATCAATGAATTTAGGGAAAAAATACAAATTTCACAACTTTTTCTATGCTGCAATTCTAGAAAGCAGACTGCAAGAATAGTGAAGTGAAGGTTAGGGAATTCTATTACTAGATATTTTGCTGATCTCAGTTTTGGATTTTATTAAAATTTTCAAATGAAGAATACACCCCAGCTCTAAAACTACATGATGCCTCAGGTTGAAAAAAAGCAGCAAATAATGAGAAACTTTACATGAGTATTTTTTATGGAAAGTCTGCAAAAGATGATGTGCTGTTCTATAGTTGTACTATATAAATTTGTGTACTCTTTTAGCAAGTCTAGCGTATTTGTCTACTAATCAAATATGTTAAAATAGTTATAAAAGCAAAAACACATTTTGGTTTTGTTTATTTATTTTATTTTTTATTTTTTTTGCCAACCAACACATCCTTTATTTTTTTTAATAAATTAATTTTTATTGGTGTTCAATTTACCAACATACAGAATAACACCCAGTGCTCATCCCGTCAAGTGTCCCCCTCTGTGCCCGTCACCCATTCACCCCCACCCCCCACCCTCCTCCTCTTCCAAAACCCCTAGTTCGTTTCCCAGAGTTAGGAGTCTTTATGTTCTGTCTCCCTTTCTGATATTTCCCACACATTTCTTCTCCCTTCCCTTATAATCCCTTTCACTATTATTCATATTCCCCAAATGAATGAGAACATACACTGTTTGTCCTTCTCTGATTGACTTACTTCACTCACCATAATACCCTCCAGTTCCATCCACGTTGAAGCAAATGGTGGGTATTTGTCGTTTCTAATGGCTGAGGAATATTCCATTGTATACATAAACCACATCTTCTTTATCCATTCATCTTTCGATGGGCACCGAGGCTCCTTCCACAGTTTGGCTACTGTGGACATGGCTCCTAGAAATATCAGGGTGCAGGTGTCCCGGCATTTCATTGCATCTGAATCTTTGGGGTAAATCCCTAACAGTGCAATTGCTGGGTCGTAGGGCAGGTCTATTTTTAACTCTTTGAGGAACCTCCACACAGTTTTCCAGAGTGGCTGCACCAGTTCACATTCCCACCAACAGTGCAAGAGGGTTCCCTTTTCTCCGCATCCTCTCCAACATTTGTGCTTTCCTGCCTTGTTAATTTTCCCCATTCTCACTGGTGTGAGGTGGTATCTCATTGTGGTTTTGATTTGTATTTCCCTGATGGCAAGTGATGCAGAGCATTTTCTCATGTGCATGTTGGCCATGTCTATGTCTTCCTCTGTGAGATTTCTCTTCATGTCTTTTGCCCATTTCATGATTGGATTGTTTGTTTCTTTGGTGTTGAGTTTAAGAAGTTCTTTATAGATTTTGGAAACTAGCCCTTTATCTGATATGTCATTTGCAAATATCTTCTCCCATTCTGTAGGTTGTCTTTGAGTTTTGTTGACTGTATCCTTTGCTGTGCAAAAGCTTCTTATCTTGATGAAGTCCCAATAGTTCATTTTTGCTTTTGTTTCTTTTGCTTTCATGGATGTATCTTGCAAGAAGTTACTGTGGCCAAGTTCAAAAAGGGTGTTGCCTGTGTTCTCCTCTAGGATTTTGATGGAATCTTGTCTCACATTTAGATCTTTCATCCATTTTGAGTTTATCTTTGTGTATGGTGCAAGAGAGTGGTCTAGTTTCATGCATGTGGATGTCCATTTTCCCAGCACCATTTATTGAAGAGACTGTCTTTCTTCCAGTGGATCGTCTTTCCTCCTTTATCGAATATTAGTTGACCATAAAGTTCAGGGTCCACTTCTGGGTTCTCTATTTTGTTCCATTGATCTATGTGTCTGTTTTTGTGCCAGTACCACACTGTCTTGATGACCACAGCTTTGTAGTACAACCTGAAATCTGGCATTGTGATGACCCCAGATATGGTTTTCTTTTTTAAAATTCCCCTGGCTATTCGGGGTCTTTTCTGATTCCACACAAATCTTAAAATAATTTGTTCTAAGTCTCTGAAGAAAGTCCATGGTATTTTGATAGGGATTGCATTGAACGTGTAAATTGCCCTGGGTAACATTGACATTCTCACAATATTAATTCTGCCAATCCATGAGCATGGAATATTTTTCCATCTCTTTGTGTCTTCCTCAATTTCTTTCAGAAGTGTTCTATAGTTTTTAGGATATAGATCCTATACCTCTTTGGTTAGGTTTATTCCTAGGTATCTTATGCTTTTGGGTGCAATGGTAAATGGGATGGACTCCTTAATTTCTCTTTCTTCAGTCTCATTGTTAGTGTATAGAAATGCCATTGATTTCTGGGCATTGATTTTGGATCCTGCCACGCTACCAAATTGCTGTATGAGTTCTAGCAATCTTGGGGTGGAGGCTTTTGGGTTTTCTATGTAGAGTATCATGTCATCGGCGAAGAGGGAGAGTTTGACTTCTTCTTTGCCAATTTGAATGCCTTTAATGTCTTTTTGTTGTCTGATTGCTGAGGCTAGGACTTCCAGTACTATGTTGAATAGCAGTGGTGAGAGTGGACATCCCTGTCTTGTTCCTGATCTTAGGGGAAAGGCTCCCAGTGCTTCCCCATTGAGAATGATATTTGCTGTGGGCTTTTCGTAGATGGCTTTTAAGATGTCGAGGAAAGTTCCCTCTATCCCTACACTCTGAAGAGTTTTCATCAGGAATGGATGCTGTATTTTGTCAAATGCTTTCTCTGCATCTAATGAGAGGATCATGTGGTTCTTGGTTTTTCTCTTGCTGATATGATGAATCACATTGATTGTTTTACGAGTGTTGAACCAGCCTTGTGTCCCGGGGATAAATCCTACTTGGTCATGGTGAATAATTTTCTTAATGTGTTGTTGGATCCTATTGGCTAGTATCTTGTTGAGAATTTTTGCATCCATGTTCATCAGGGATATTGGTCTGTAATTCTCCTTTTTAGTGGGGTCTTTGTCTGGTTTTGGAATTAAGGTGATGCTGGCCTCATAGAATGAATTTGGAAGTACTCCATCTCTTTCTATCTTTCCAAACAGCTTTAGTAGAATAGGTATGATTTCTTCTTTAAACGTTTGATAGAATTCCCCTGGGAAGCCATCTGGCCCTGGACTCTTGTGTCTTGGGAGGTTTTTGATGACTGCTTCAATTTCCTCCCTGGTTATTGGCCTGTTCAGGTTTTCTATTTCTTCCTGTTCCAGTTTTGGTAGTTTGTGGCTTTCCAGGAATGCGTCCATTTCTTCTAGATTGCCTAATTTATTGGCGTAGAGCTGTTCATAATATGTTTTTAAAATCGTTTGTATTTCCTTGGTGTTGGTAGTGATCTCTCCTTTCTCATTCATGATTTTATTAATTTGAGTCTTCTCTCTCTTCTTTTTAATAAGGTTGGCTAATGGTTTATCTATCTTATTAATTCTTTCAAAGAACCAACTCCTGGTTCTATTGGTCTGTTCCACAGTTCTTCTGGTCTCAATTTCATTGAGTTCTGCTCGAATTTTAATTAACTCTCTTCTTCTGCTGGGCGTAGGGTCCATTTGCTGTTTTTTCTCTAGCTCCTTTATGTGTAAGGTTAGCTTTTGTATTTGAGTTCTTTCCAGTTTTTGAATGGATGCTTGTATTGCGATGTATTTCCCCCTCAGGACTGCTTTTGCTGCATCCCAAAGATTTTGAATGGCTGTATCTTCATTCTCATTAGTTTCCATGAATCTTTTTAATTCTTCCTTAATTTCCTGGTTGACCCTTTCATCTTTTAGCAGGATGGTCCTTAATCTCCACGTGTTTGAAGTCCTTCCAAACTTCTTGTTGTGATTTAGTTCTAATTTCAAGGCGTTATGGTCTGAGAATATGCAGGGGACGATCCCAATCTTTTGGTATCGGTTCAGACCCGATTTGTGACCCAGTATGTGGTCTATTCTGGAGAAAGTTCCATGTGCACTTGAGAAGAATGTGTATTCAGTTGAGTTTGGATGTAAAGTTCTATAGATATCTGTGAAATCTATCTGGTCCAGTGTATCATTTAAAGCTCTCGTTTCTTTGGAGATGTTGTGCTTAGAAGACCTATCGAGGGTAGAAAGAGCTAGATTGAAGTCACCCAGTATAAGTGTATTATTATCTAAGTATTTCTTCACTTTGGTTAATAATTCTTTTAAGTATTTGGCAGCTCCCACATTCGGGGCATACATATTGAGGATTGTTAAGTCCTCTTGCTGGATAGATCCTTTAAGTATGATATAGTGTCCCTCTTCATCTCTCACTACAGTCTTCGGGGTAAATTTTAGTTTATCTGATATAAGGATGGCTACCCCTGCTTTCTTTTGAGAAACATTTGAATGGTAAATGGTTCTCCAACCTTTTATTTTCAGGCTGTAGGTGTCCTTATGTCTAAAATGAGTCTCTTGTAGACAGCAAATAGATGGGTCCTGCTTTTTTATCCAGTCTGAAACCCTGCGCCTTTTGATGGGGTCATTAAGGCCATTCACGTTCAGAGTTACTATTGACAGATATGAGTTTAGTGTCATCATGATATCTATTCAGTCCTTGTTTTTGTGGATTGTTTCACTGAACTTCTTCTTAAAGGGGAATTTTGAGAGTCCCCCTTAAAATTTCTTGCAGAGCTGGTTTGGAGGTCACATATTCTTTCAGTTCCTGCCTGTCTTGGAAGCTCTTTATCTCTCCTTCCATTTTGAATGAGAGCCTTGCTGGATAAAGTATTCTTGGTTGCATGTTCTTCTCATTTAGGACCCTGAATATATCCTGCCAGCCCTTTCTGGCCTGCCAGGTCTCTGTAGAGAGGTCTGCT